TAGGTTTGGGTTTGAAGGGACTTTAAAGTGCATCTAGCTCACTTCTAACCAGAAGAGTGTTACTCAGTGTAAGCCAACTGAATTGTGTTTAAAATCAATTTCCCTTTCTTTCAAATGGTTCAAATTCTACCTCCTATTAAATTCCCATTAATAATGCTCTTGGCTATTTAGTTACTGCAGCAGGGTTAAACATTCATTAAGCCTCTTGTTTTAATTGACTGTGATAATACAGCTAAAGTACTTTGACCACATAGCTTGCAGTGATGGGGTTTGTTTCAATGTGTATGAGGAGTCAAGCCTTCGGGTACACACCTGATCTTCTAAATGAACCTGATGTTTCGTGTTTCTTAAGCCAGACGATCCTTCTGCTTCGTGCATGTTTTATCTCCAGGACTCAGAACAGTTTGCTGTGGAAGTTTGGCTCAAAAGCCCTTGAAATCTGATAAAATGTATAGATTTATTGTGAGTTTCCAGCCAGGTCAGGGGCCGAGTTCTAGACGGGAAGTGGTTTTGGTTTTCTGCACTGTTAGATGATTCGGCCAACACAAACTGAGCACAAGCTGTTCCAAGCCTGTTAATAAGTCAGACGATGGTGCTATCAATGCTGGTTTTGAGACTGATAAAAGACTCTTTTAATATGCTACTGTTATACTGTTTTCTCTTATCTAAACTGATTTACTGATGTGAGTTTCTCCAATACAGGCTGAGAACCAATTCACACAAATATGCTTAATGCTGGTCCACACATTGCTTTTACTTTTTCAATGCAGATGAGAAATGAGCAGCTATTCTTTGAGGAAGGGAAACTAAGGTATGAAGAAAAAGGAAACAACTCATGGAATATCATGAAACCGGTCAAAGAAGGGAAGGAAATTGCAGAAATGGTGAGAATGATCCTGGTCTTGTCTCAAAACCAGGCAAGAAAAACCTCTAAAGGTCTAAGTAAACCCCTAGGGACTGGCAGGTATTCCTCATACCTGGATGAGATGGAGTTTTGCTCTGTGCCATTGCAGAAGTGTTCCATTTTAATGACACAGGAGAGCCTCCTTGAGGCTCCTTCCCTCAGCCTTGGGCAATGCTACAAACCCCAGTTACATGCTGGAAGTGCTCCCGTGCACCATTCACAGCCTTTTAGTCAACTGTTAGATAAACCTGTCCACTGATGGGCAATGTTTCCTGGTGGAAGTAACCAGCATGGATTGCTCCAGCAACCCAGGCCACACCTTTCTGTAGGACGCTTTTCGACATGGAAACTCTGCAAAATTCCTTATTCTACAAATCCTCCTGGATATTAAACAGCCCTGAAGCTGGCAGAGAACAGTGTCAGTAAAGCCCGGAGAGGATGGGAAGCATTTTTCTGGTGCCGGCTTCCATCAGACTTTGAAATGGCATCCAGAAACATGATGGAGCTGCTAGCAACTTGGCAAAAAGAATGCATAATGCAACAGTGCTCAAAACCAGGCAGATCAAGTCATAGCATCCACTACGATGGAAAGGTCTCTCCTACCCCTAGGGTATTCTGATGTCCATGACCGGGTATAAATAGACTTTGAAGAGGGCAAAGACAGCAACTTGGCAGCATTCCCTGGCATCTTCTTGAGTTGACGTAAGCCAACATCCCGACTGGCCCTGGAGCGGCAGAGGGAATCCCGGGTGATGGATGTGTGGCGTTTCTCCAGGAGCCTGTCACTGCAGGCTGTCCTGCACCACAGGGACTGGGATGCCTTTCTTGGTTTTCTTGCTGCCTTGGTTCCTGCTGGTTTGAATGATGCCTATAAACCTTCCAGGACTGTGTGCCTGGAGCCTGGGGCAGGCACCATGATAAATGCACAAATCAAACATCATTAAAAAAGACATGTTTTATTTCAGCTATCCTGCAGGCGCTTCATTAAGATGATTATTCACTTGTACCACTCAAATGAAGTCACTGCAACCGCTGTTCCCAGTGGTGGGCCCAGAATGACAGAAACTGGCAGGGTGGTCATACATCAGCCCAAACCCTTTTGTTCCTGTTTGCTTTCCATCTGCACACCCATCCATCAGGCCAGATGGACTCCAGCTGTGGATCTCTCATCCCTGTGTCTGCCCACAGGATTTCTGTAACATTTCTGCTCATGGAAGTGATTTTACAAAGAAGTTCCTCTTCTTGGATGATTCCAGAGTCTTTATTGCTGCATCTTCCTACCTTGGTCCCCTTTCATATGGTTGCCTACATCTAGCCACTATGTTGGCTCATCCACCTTACAGAAAAGAGCTGCCTGCATAGTGACCTTCATCTCTTGATGGAATCATCTTTAAGGTTCCTTCCAAACACAACCATTCTATGACACAGTGATCCCATGATCTTTACAAGTGGTAAGCCTTAGATTGCTGTTTCATTCAAGCAGTTTAGCAAGTTAGATGTAACCTCAGGGACTTCTGGTCCAGGCCAGCATTGTTGGTGGAGAAATCAAGACACAGAGAGAGGACATGAGCTGACCAAGCTTTTGCAGGTGGTCAGCAGTAGAGCCAGGAATAGTGTCCACGAGGCAACTCAGTCCCAAGGGAAAGATGTGGGCAAGGTTAACACAGCAAATAAAAATAATCCCTCTGAAATAAATGTGACCCATAAAATGCATAAACATTGACTACCCATAAACAGCATGCACTATTTACAGCATCAAAGCGCAAGGATATTTGCCAGCCATTTGCAGCTCAAAGGATAAACAGCAGGTCTTTTGATCCTGAGTTGTCAAAAAGGTTATATTTAAAGCCATTCATTCCTCCCCAGTCTTTCTCCCTTTACATCATTTCTTTTATGCTTTGCACTGATCCCACTGCTGTAAATACCACTTTTGCTATATGGTGGTGGTGCAGTAAATATCATTTCTGGTAATGAAGCAGGCGGGGAGGGACTCCTGCACTCCCTGTAACAACCTGAAATAGAAACACCGTGGGGATAAAATATGAGAATTGGAGCTTTGACTAAATGGCAGCTTTTGTCACCATTTCTCTGAGCATTTGACGAATGGAGGCTGCGAATCCAGCTCCGAAGCACTCACCTGGGAACATCAAAGAGAAAGGCAAGGAAGTTACTGAGCATTTTGCTAAACCCTGGAGTTTGCTGGTGGCTGGAGGGTGAGAAAGCTGTTAGAGCTGAACCAGGTGTGTTTAGAATGAAATACACATCTTACACAGTAGCAAACTACCCAGTGTTTGGCTGCTTGTCCCATCCCAAACCTCTTCTTCCTCTGCTGCTTCAACCGGTGTGACTTGGCCAGCATTTCCCCATCGCTTCTAAGAATGGTCCAGGGCTACAAGCACTGTGCTTCATTTTGAACTCTATTGGATGTCTGTAAAAGTCTTGAGACGTCTGAACTCTGATTTCCCTTTTTTCCCCAGAAAACCATCACATTCTTCTGGATCATTCACATGGATGTGCCGGAGGGACTGATTCATTTTGATGTTATCATTTGAGTTGGTTGCAGTGTGAAATGTAGCCTAAGCTATTAAACAGAATAATTATATGTTTATTGGAAACACGTAAATATAAACCAAATATACTGGTTTAAAATAGAACTCAAGCAAAGCAAATTGGAAAAGGAAAATGCCAAATCAAAACAAAGCATGTCTGCGCTGTTGAAATTAAAATGTCATTTTTCTTGGCTCTTCCCATCTGATTCCTGTGAAATGTTATGCACATAATGATAGAGAAATAATCTCTATTTGTACAGTTTATGCTATCAGACTTGCTTGGTTTATGACAAATGAGAAGTTGCCACCTCTCCCAGTTGTAATGCGTATTATAGATGTGCTTGTTTTTTAGTACTTTTAGCACTTAAACTGGGCTTTGCTCTTTCCTGGCCTATCCCACGGCTGGCAGATTCAACTACCCATGAAATGAAGGCATCCAGCAGAGTGGCATTTTAACATTGGGATATTACAAACCAGGAAAAGGTTTTAGAAAGACAAGGAAGGATCCAAAGGAGGATGCAGCACAGTAAGCAAGGAAAACCTCTTGCCTGGGTGGCAGTGGATGATGCTTCCCCAGCTGGTCATGCTGGGGAGGATAAACTGCATCTACTGGCTTCACAGTGGAGTCTTCTGCTGGACTTGTCTGCATGTGGAAAGCTGTTTGTTTTAATACAGTCCCTTACCCACAGGCAGAAGCTTTGGCTGTCATTGGGTGTGTTGGTGGTTAGGGCAGTGCAAAGGCTCTCCAGCCCTGCTAAGCACTTACGGTATTACATTCCAGCTGAAGTCTCCCAGCAGCTTAAGCACTCGACAGTGAGTTTCATGCTGCCATGTTTTCAAACGTGTCTCATCCGTGCTGTGACATCCAGACCATGCAGCCAAGCTCATTCATCCGAACTGGCCAACAAAGGCATCAACACCATGGTCTCACAACAGCAACAAGAAGATGGCCCCAGCAGCTCCTGCTGGTGGGAGCAGAGAGGCTGCAGCCATCAGCAAAGGGCTTTTACCCACAGTGCTGGTGGAACAGAGCAGATCATCACAGCGTGTGCAGAAGATGTCTCCAAAAAATGGTGTTTGTCAGCTCCATCCTGATAATAGTCCCAACGGTCAAAATTTGTGGGTGCAAACCCAGGTCAGAAATAGCCATATGGGTTGGAAGAAACCCTAAAGCTCCTCCAGCTCCAACCCCTGCCATGGGCAGGGACACCTTCCACTGGAGCAGCTTGCTCCAAGCCCCTGTGTCCAACCTGGCCTTGAGCACTGCCAGGGATGGGGCAGCCACAGCTTCTCTGGGCACCCTGTGCCAGCGCCTCAGCACCCTCACAGGGAAGAGCTTCTGCCTAAGAGCTCAGATCAGTCTCCCCTCGGGCAGGTTCAAGCCATTCCCCTTGGCCTGTCCTTCCTTGCTTCTGCTGACCATCCTGCTGTGGAAGGAAAGAGGGGATCTGGTATTTACAACAAGCCTTTTTAGTAAGGAGGCATGGATGTGACTGGGTTGGAGAGAAAGGCAGACCCTCCTTGTGCAGGACACGTGAAGCCAGCAACAGTGGCTCTGCAGAATGACAGGGCTGCTCAGGGGCCAGCATCAGCCGTTAATGGTTTGTCTGTTTACGGCGCAAGCAGGCTCGGGAAGAGCTTTAAATGCATATTTTCCTCTCGAAATATTGAATTTGGTGTTTTCATTTTCGGAGGCCTGGGGAAAAATTATGTTTCATATTTTCAAACCAAACAGGGCTTTTACAGAGGCGTAAACGCAGAGCCCTGGGATCCAGCACACCTTCGCCTCTCGCCGCCTTCTCAAAGCTTTAATGTTGCTTGTGTGCCACAAGCTCTGCTAGTGAAAATATTCACCTGAAATGTATTTATCTTCCTTTGCTAATTAACAGCAAAATGACACAGAGAAACTTTATATTTTCCTCTGCGAGAACAGCCATAGAGACTTCATTTATGGAGAGCTCTGAATGATCCCTATTCATGGCAAGCGAGTACTGTCTGCACCAATAGATCCTTGTATGCATGGCAGAGCAACAGGAGAAACCCCATCGCAGACAGGGCTGGAGGTAAAATCTCCCTGATTTTATGTTTTTAGTTCATGTTGTTCCCTAATAGTTGTAAATGTACCAGTGTGGCTGTTCTGGGTATTGGGAGAGCAAATGCATCTATGTTCACACAAAGGTATCAGTGAATAGTATTTATACATCTTAGCACCCATCTGCATCCATGCATATAGAAACACATCCATGAAAAGCATGCATAGAGGAGAGTTATATGTCTGCATGTATGTGCACACATACATATTTATATACAGAAACACATATGCAATCATGTTTATATGTAAATACATACACATGTATGGTCACATGTGTATATAGCTATGCATCCATTCACAAGCATAGATGAAGTTTTTACACTGAGCTCTTTGTGCATGCACAGGTATACGTGAAGTGTGTGTGTTCTGTACTACTCCACGACCACAGCTGCAATTTTCACATCATTCATGGCAGCCTTTTTAATCCCAGGGGCTCTGAAATAATAAGCAAATAAATAAGATGTCACAAAGCTTGGGAAAAGGGGCTCAAAGACAGAAAGAGGTGAAATGGGAGCAAAAAACCCCTCTCATCTGGACCATTTTCTCCTTCTGGCTAAAAATGTCCAGCTAACTCCAGAGATGGATGCAGGCCTGTGATTGATGGTGGGTACCTGGGAAGACAGCAGTGGGGCAAATCTGTGCTGATTTTGCATGAGACCATAGCTATATTTTATATATTCATTAACACTTTTAATGTTAAAAGAGTTAAGAATACCTGGCAGCTTCACTAAGGACAGGTCCCTTTTTTTCCTAATCAAAGCGCTTTTCTCCACAGGAGCTCTCAGTCTCTGTTGAAGCACTTTGGGAGTAAAGAGGGAATCTGGATAAGGAAAGAGAAACTGGGCTTTGAATTAAAGGTAGTTTGCCACAGCACTGCACTAGCACAATGCAGATTAAATGGATGAGTGCTCCAAGGGTGTGTGACTGGAAAGGTGAGCAAAGACTAATCCATCTTTGGAAGGGCTTCAATCAACTGACAATACTGTAATATGGTACTTAGGAAAAAAACAGATGCACAGCTTTGTGATGAACCCATCATTAAATTCCCCTTCCTTTGGTACCAAATCTCCCTGCTGCTCTGCCATAAGGAAAACATTGGATTTCTGCTCACTTGCAGCATCATCAGTCTTATTTGTTGGTTTAGATTATTGGCTGTCTGTGGCTGTATCTCCCTCATGTGCAGAGACCCAAAAGCTACGCTGTAAGAAATAAATCAAACTTCTAATCTGTTTGTCTATGCTGAGTGTCTTGTCTATTTATCTAGTTTAGGCTATGGAGTTCTTCCTTTCCCTCCCTCCTCTGCTGCACAGGGGCCCAGCCTCATAGAGAAGCGACTGTTTCCCGCAGGAAGGAATTTGCTCTGCATCCGTCGCTCCTTCCTCCTCCCCAAGCCTTGCTCTCCTCTTCCTCTCCCCTCCTCCTACAACGATTTGCCTGCAAACTATGCCAAGGCAGCGAAGTCCCCCGGTCCCTCAGGCTGGGTTCCAGCCCTGTGCTTGGCAAAGGGATGATTTGTGTGATGCTATTCCCGTGCTCCCCCTTCCCACCATCACCCCCTCCCTGGGCTTTGCCGGAGGACGGACACGAGCCTGACACGCTCCAGTTTGCTTACAGTGGCAAAGCCCAGGGTTTGCAGGCGGGAGCTAGTGATTGACAGGTTAACCCCAGCTCCCCAGGGCTGGTTTCACTGCTCCCACTGTTACGGTCCCAGATTCCCCACATACCATGCTGTTGCGGGTCTCTTTACAGCTTCCCATCCCCTTCACCAGCAATGAAGCCATTGTGGAGGGGATGGGGGCCGGCAGAGCTGGACATCCCCCCCCTTTCCCCATCTTCATGCAATATTTCCTAGTCCTCCTTGCTTGTCCCTCTCCCCTCGGTGCCCCCCCAGCCCTTCACACGTGTCAGGGGCTGGCCCCATGCCTCCCCGAGGAAGGGCAGGTTAATACCTCTGGGCCAAGGCTCGTGCTTGCTACTCTGCATCCAGGCACTGGCTCCTCTGCAGCCATGGACAGGATTTTCTCTGCCTTGCTGCTCTCTTTGCTGCTTCTCCTCCAGAGCTATGGAGTTTGTGGGACACCTCCACAGCAGAGAGGTAAGTGGGGAGCTCAGCAGCGGGATGCACGATGTCAGTCCTCTACCTCCTTGCCTGCTTTGGGACCGGGAAGGAGGTGAAGGAAGAAGAAACACCCAACATCAGTCAAGGAAGCAAAGGAGCTTTCTCAAGAGTTTCCCAAGGCAGCAAAGGCTGGAGATGGGTTTGATTCTTCCCCTTACACTGCTTTAGGGATATAATGAGAGATCTATGCAGAGGTACAGCAAAGGTGGCAGCAGGTCAGCCTTAGCCCCCAGCATAGCAGCACTCTGAGCTGTAGGAGGCTTAGACAGAAGAAGGGCTCTCCTCTGCCTTCCAAAACTGTTTCTCCTCCACACAGCTCTGCAGAGGGCTGGTTGTGCCTGGAGCTTGGGGAGGAGTTGGTTGGACATCGCAGGCTCTGGTTAACCTCGCTGAGCAGGAAGGTCTGGGTCAGGCTGCTGAGGATGAGCCTTTCCGAGGCTTTCCCCTCATCCGTTCTTGAGCAAAACCCTGCTCTGTTCGTCTTTCCAAGCGGGGTGTGGAGCAGCCAGATGGGAAAGGAGCTGCCTGGTCTGTAGTTTGCATGGTCTCTGGCTCCTAGTCTGCAATTGGTGTCAGCAAGTACCAAACACAAAGGGAGGGTCTGGTGGTGAGGAAGCATCTCCCTTCTGCCAGGAGCAGGATGCTGCTGGCGCTCCAGCCAGCCTGGGGAACTCACTGCAGGAGAGGAGGCCAAGACAAAAGTTACTGCTGGGTTCTAAAACTGTTTGAATGATCTTATGATGATGCATAATGCATATACCTGGGCAGCTTGACAACTGTAAAACAGGCATGACAGGGACTGCGGCATTAGCTGGTGCTCACAAAGGAGAGTTTTCTGACATACTGAGCAGTTTCTCCTCACTAATTTGGAAAGGGAGAGTTATCTTTGCTGCAGAGCCATTAAGCACTACTGAAGGCAGGAAACTGAACAGGCTGGTCATTCAAGTCAGCCCTACCATGAGCAATCACTGCTTGTAGAATAAACACTTTCTGACTTACCAGGCTGGTTTCCTGTTCTTTTAATGAATACGGCAAAGATGCCCTAGGAGAGATTTTCTGCTAAATCAGTGCATGAAATTCAGTTACTCCTGAATTACTCCAAGTGCGGACGTTGTTAAAAATAGAGCATTTTCTTTCTGGTTTAATTCAACTTTAAGATCAACTCTGCTGAGTCAAGATGTCAATCAGAGCAAGAGTGCCTGACGGTCACATCCTGGAGATAACCAAGGCCTGGCCTGCAGGCCAGATATGTGCACCGGGGCTCTGACCAGACAGGCTAAAATCCCAAAGCTCCCATCTGATAATCTCTTCTCTTCATTGCCCTGAGATATACTTCACTCGCATAAAAAGAGGTTAAAAAAGTTATTTAGGCCAAAATCACTGAGCTTCCGTAAAGAAAAATAATAAATCTTGAAAACTTCTATTGGATCCAAATGCTTCTAGGGAAAAAACACCAACTTTTCTTATTTGGTTTCTCACTAAAACCAGAGGAGATTCATTAGTTACAGTGGCAAAGGGGAATCTGCCCTTTATTTCTGACAGAACCGATTGCAAGACTTTGAGCCTTTCTCTGTACCTTCATTTCTCACCTGTAAAATAGGCATAAGCAACCCCTGGTAAAGGGATTTGCAATGCTGCAGATAGATTGCCAACTGAGTTTTTCCTTCCTTTGCAACGAATTATGGTGGCAAAGTGGAAGTCACCCACATGGGAAAAGGTTATATTGCATTTTAGGGGAAACTAGAGCATCTGACAAAGTAAGCACTGCCTGCATCCCTTCCCAACACAGCATCTTTGAGAGAGACCTTTCTGGGAGCCAGAAGCACATTCAGTGTTAGTGTCTCTCAGGAAACTAACCTGATTATATCCTTTATGGATCTATCACAGGGTATTTATTTTTATCTGTCTGAAAGACTGAAAGCCCCGTTACATCTCACACCGAGGACCAGCTGTAATATTTATGTCATCATTTGGAACAGATTTGTTGGCCCAAAAGCTCACATTTAAAAATCTGTCCACAGAAATCTCCTTTATGATCTAACCTATATCGTCCCTCTCTGCAGAAATCAAATAGTAACAGAACCCTTGATGCCCCTACAGGGACAAGCTAAATGACAGAAAGAAATGAAAAGAACAGAATGCTATAGATCTGGGGGGAGAAATGGGGCAATTCATTTAGAAAATCATAAAAAACACCAGTCCTTTTTATGTTTTGCCACAGTTGAAAATTAAGATGGAAACAGCATGAAAATGAGAAATTAAAACCAAAATAAAATCGCTCAGCTTTTTGCAATGTTAATGCTTCCTGTTTGTGCCGTTTACTTTTTACAGTGGATATTCATGTCTTATTATGGGGTTGCAGACATTAACTATCAATTACATGGTTCTACGTCTCTCTGTTGTATTGTCCCTCACCAGCTCACAGAAACAAAACAGTGCTGGTCTTTGCTGTGTTACAGTATTTACTAGTCCACAGCTGAACAACATGATGGGATGGTGGTTAGTTAATCTGGGTACCTCAATCCACAGCTGAATCTGGAACTGCTGGGCTCCATGCCTGCTTCTGGTCATGCATGATGAAGATATAATCTCATTAATTAATATCCATGGGGATTGCTTATCCATGTCTGAAATGTGATCACTCCTTTTTAGACGCTGTTTGATGCCAAAGTGCACACACAGGCTTCAGCCCACAGCTTTATTCCTCCCTCCGTGCTGCAGTAAGTGAATTAAGTTTCACGTAGACATTAGCAATAGCCTGGGGTGACAAGTGGGTAACCTGCTCCTGCAAGTGCAGTGCCAGTGTCTCATCACCTCGCTCCCTCAGAAGCACACGTTGTCAACCAGTAACCGTGCTTTTCTTACAGATGCTTTTCTATGACAGGAAAAAGAACAGTTAGGATTATTAGGTTAAAGTGAGACAGGTAGAGAAGGGATTGAAGCTCTCAGGTCCTCTAACGAGACCATTCTTTTCCCCTTAGGATCCTTTCCTCTTCTTCTTTCATTTTTCTCCTCCCTCCTTATGCTTTCCAGGCACCCTGTGCAGAACCAAACCCACCGACCTGGTGTTCATCATCGACAGCTCCCGCAGCGTGCGCCCGCACGAGTTTGAGAAGGTCAAAGTCTTCATGTCCCGAGTGATTGAGGGGCTGGACGTGGGCCCCAACTCCACTCGGGTGGGTGTCATCAACTACGCCAGTGCTGTCAAGAACGAGTTCTCCCTCAAGACGTACCAAACCAAAGCCGCGCTCCTGCAGGCGGTCCGAAGGATAGAGCCGCTCTCCACCGGGACTATGACTGGCCTGGCTATCCAGTTTGCCATCAGCCGGGCTTTTAGTGACTCTGAAGGGGCCAGGGTGAGGTCTCCCAATTTTAATAAGGTGAGAAAATGATCTGTTTCTTGGAAGCTCCTTTCTGATTGTGCCTCATCGTGGAGCAGCTGGGGAAAGGTTTTCTCTGTGCTTTGGTTGTGTGGGGACAAGAGGGGGGTAACTGACAAAGGTGACAAACCTTTGGAGGGTGGAAACCTCCCAACTCTTCCTGAAAACCAAGCTCAACGTTCTCTGGGGGAGAAGCTAAGCATGAACATGCAGGGTTATCAATGCACATCTTAGAATCATAGAATGGTTTGGGTTGGAAAGGACCTTAAGATCATCAAGTTCCAACCCCTCTGCCATGGGCAGGGACACCTCGCACTGAAACATCTCACCCAAGGCCTTGAACACTGCCAGGGATGGAGCATTCACAACCTCCCTGGGCAACCCATTCCAGTGCCTCACAACCCTAACAGGAAAGAATTTCCTCCTTATATCCAATCTAAACTTCCCCTGTTTAAGTTTGAACCTATTACCCCTTGTCCTATCACTACAGTCCCTAATGAAGAGTCCCTCCCCAGCATCCCCATAGGTCCCCTTCAGATACTGGAAGGCTGCTCTGAGGTCTCCACGCAGCCTTCTCTTCTCCAGGCTGAACAGCCCCAACTTTCTCACCCTACATCTTAGAATCATAGAATGGTTAAGGTTGGAAAGGACCTTAAGAACATCCAGTTCCAACCTCCCTGGCACAGGCAGGGACACCTCACACTAGACTAAGTCTTGTGTGCCCCCTCACTGTGTTGAACTACCAGCAACTTGCAAATACGGATGATTCCATCCTCATATGGTCTCTTATTGCAGAGCTCACAGTGGGGGAAATTCTCTGAATTTTAGCCTGAATCTGGTTTGATGCAATAGGAAGAAAACCAAGAGTAATAATAGAAGAAAAACACACTCCAAGAAACTTCTACTGTCTCATTGACAATCAGGTCCAGAAAGATAAGCTCTTCTGATGAGCCATCATGATCACATCATTAGCTTAGGAGTCACCTGGTGCAGAATCCACCAGCTCAGCTCTTGCAGGGGAACTCAGACCTAATTGCCATGGGTTTTATTCAAAAGGAGCAACATTGAGTTGTTTGGTCAAATTCTTTGAGGTTCACTGAAAGAAATTGGTGGATAAAGGTGCTTGAAGGGTGCCAGTTAGTGCACAGAGGAAAACCTGTGGCCGGTCATTTCACCTAGGGTGGTACCTGGGTCATGAATGAAGTATCATAAAGGAGGGGTCTGACTTCCAGTCCTGTTGCTCCCATTGACTTCACTGGTTTTCTTACTGTTTATCTTTCAAATGGCATCTTTTTGGTCCAGTTTCTTTTAGGACCACTATGCAATCCATTCATGCCCCTCTCACCATATTTCTTTATCCTCTCCTGTCTTCACCTAATTCCCCAGTGTCCATTTTAAGACCAGGAGATCATGTTTAGGTCAGGACCGGGCACAGCCCTGGTTTATACAATACTCTTTTAATACTTCTTTTCTTAATACAGTCTGACCTCTTCCATGCAGCGCTGACCATTACTGTAGATTGAAGAGACATTTTCACTGAGCTGTCTATGCAATGCTTGGATCTTTGTCTAACTCATCTCTTCCACACCATTTAAGTAACCATTTCCTCATGTACTGTCTTCCTGCTCTTGTCTACTCTGCAGCTGGGCTGCCAGACAGCTCATCCAACATGTTCCTGCAATCCTTGCTGTTTCCTGTCGTCTCAATGCACATAAGAGCTGCTATGTCCTACTAATATATCAAACAAGCCTTTAGCTTAAGTATTTGAACTCTTAAAAAGCAAATCTCATTTGTTCTGTGGATGGCTAAAGCATCAATGCTTGTGTGGACGATGGTACAAAGACCTCTGAAGTTGCTTTGTCTCCCTAAAACCTTACTTCCTGGACATCCAAAAAAGCAGAATAGTGAGGGTTTGATTTATCTCAGGCATTAAAAAAGAAGCAAATAAAATCACCATCTGCTTCTCCCTCTTCCCTTCCACTTTGGAGCTGATCCAAGAGGCAGAATCACGGAAAGGGACCTCTGGAGTCCTAGTGACCATGCTCAAGCAGGGCCACCTGGAGCTGGTTGCCCAGGATCATGTTGAGATGGCTTTTGAGTATCTCCAAGGTGGAAGCCTCCACAACCACTTGCATTCCTTGGTTCCCTGGTTATTTTTTGCCTTTTTCCATGATGTCTTGAAGTCCAGCAAACTTCTCCCTTCTGTCATCCTCATGCTGCCCAAGGTGACTCAGTCGCCTGTCTAGGGTCATGCAGTAATTGAGGGAGATGAAGCTTCCAGAAGCATTGGACATGGTTCTTACTCCTTCACACAGCAGAAATGCAGCAAGACCTTGTGAAAATCTGTGCTATATTTGCAACCATGTGGGACACCGGTCAAAACATCACAAGATCCTCATCTGATCTTGCTGTGTTCTGTGTGGTGAATGTCACCCCAGGACAAGGAAAAGCACCATTTCTCTCTGTAGGAGCTCAGAGCAGAGCCTGTTTACACTCTCATCAAGAACTACAGGGGTGCCCAAATACTTTTGTCTTTCTTTAGAAAGAGCAGCAAATAGGTTGTCAAATTGCTGAGAAAATCAAGGCCTTGTTCAACTTTCTGCCCAATTCTCCTTTCAGTGCTGCTGCACCATTCACATTACTCACTGCATAATGAGACACAGCTAGCTCATTAGCTGCTGGGTTGCCAACCCTGAAATATGAATACCTAGGGATGCCTGGGAATACTCTGGTGTTTTAGCTAACCAAGAATAAATTGTGTCATGAGACCATGGGGGATTTCTCTATGCCAGAAGTAACACAGGAAGGATCCAGATAGGGATTGACGGGAAGCGGAAAGGTGGTGGTTAACATGAGCAAAAGTTTTGACCTTGAAAAGCAAAATGCTGTGAGTTTCCTTAGGGAAAAACTGAAGATCCTGTTCAGCCCTTTGAGGGAGCAAACGTGTTCACCCTTTCCTGATTCTTCTCCCATGGCTTGCTGCTGAGGCCAGCACAAGCCCTCTGCTGCAGAGCAGCATCAGCCTCTCCAGGCTGCAGCAGTTGCTCCTTTTCTCTTTCCCAAGCAAGGCACATTCCAGGACTCTCAGCTTTTTAAATGAGACAAGGTCACAACAGAGAGAACTGCACAAACCCTGTGGCTGCAAATGATGGGGAGGTAGGTTAAAAACCCCCAGGATGCTGGGGTTTTCCACACTAGAACTCCCTGCCTCAGGCTGGCACAGAGGGGGAATGCTAGGGAAAAATCAGGATTTCCTGGTTATCAAGATTACTACAGCAAGATCATGTTGTCCTTGTTCCATTTCTTACTCTGTAAGTACCCCTGCCTGGTCACAGACAGGCTCCCTGGCTGGTTGGTGCTTGCTCTGCATCACTATTCCATTCATTATAGCCATGGGCTCACTGATGAATTCCTGATGCCTGGTCCAGACTCTGTACCCAGAAGTTTTGCTTTCCCCAACAGCAACATGAATTCCAAGTGTTCTATAGCAGATTTTCACACAGATGAATTATGAAGATCTTTTCCATCCAATCCACATGTGGATGCTGCTGGCAGACACCTGGGTCATACCTGAGGCTCATGCCTATGCGAAGATGCCACCATGATGGGAAGAATGAAAGGAACTGGTTAAACCTGGGGAATCACTTTGTTTAGACAGAGAAACGCCAGAAGGATGCGCAACACCTCATCCAGTGACAAACACCAAAAGGGAGATACGCAGCTCCTGACAGAAACCTGTTCACAGGGTGGTGTTGCTCGCAGAAGCTGCTTGATAATACATCTTGTGTCCTGACAGGTTGGCTTTTGATAAGCTCTAATTGGCAGCCCCTATCTCGGAGCTGCTGGGTGCATGCAGGAAGCAGAGCTGCTGAGTCGAGGGTTCCCTCTCCTGGCAGAAAGCATGATTTGCACGGCTGGCTCTGCTCCTTGGCTTGGCTGGTGGTCCAGAATTAACCCCAGGGCTTCTTTCGGTCTCTGATTCTCATGTTCATTCCACCTTTACATCACACACTCACATCTGGCACAGGTGACCCTTCTCCTTATTTTGGCCACAAGCAGAAGGGAAATACTTGAATTTGTTTCTTGATTCCCTTGGAATCAGCCAGTTACAGAATTGTGATGCTACTAGGAATTTTTGATTTTGTAGCCCTTAGGAAGCACAGATACACACCTGAACGTACACTCCTGCTCCAGAATGAAAAGCCCTACATTATTCCTGTTTCACACAAGTTTTGCATAGAAGGAAAGCTCTGAACAGGGCACCAGATTAGTATTGCAGCGGTACTTTGGGACAGATGATTGCAGCATCCATCCATCCATCCATCCATCCATCCATCCATCCATCCATCCATCCATCCACCCATCAATCTACCCATCCATCCATCCATCCATACATCCATCCATCCCTCCCTCAGCAGAAGGGTAGGCAGAGAGGGAAAGAGGCCACTTCATGTGCATGGTCAGCACCCCTTGGATGAGTAGGGCACGGAACCCCACTCCTGACCATCCATCTGAGGGTGTATAATAGCCATCACACTGAGCACCTGGTGGGTCTGATTTATATAGAGGATAACAGCAAATACTGCCTTAATGACCAGATGATGGCTCATTTGAACTCACCATTGCTGCCAGCTGGATTTTTCATTTCATCTTTCTTTACTTTCTGTATTTCTGAGGGCATTTGCCTGGAATGTGGAGCTTTTTTCTGCTTAGCAGCTCACCTGCTCCTGCTGGTTGTATTTCTCCAAACTGCATTACAACCCAATCACTGCCTTTGGAGTTGGCAGCGGTGTCACAATAAAAGAGTTGTAAGGAAAAGGGGCAGGAGCAGATGAATTGGCAAAGAACAAAAATTAAGGTTTTGTGACAATGTCACGTATCAGAAGAAAAAGAAAGAGGAAAATGAACAAACAAGCAACAGGAGCAGGACTCTTGGAGGTTTTCAATGGTTCAGGGCTCCATCTAATCCAAGATGAAAACCAGTTTCCACTTAAACCAGCTGTCATTTTAATGCTGATGTTAGTAGAGGTAGGATTCCATCTCTGCTGTTTATTGCAGAACAAGGTAACTGGGCACTGACACACAGCAGGACCTTCGGCAGATCTCTTCCCCTTCATCTGCTTCAGCTTCTCCATGTATAAAATGGGGGAAAGCCCTCATCTCATGATGCTTCCATGAGATTTCCTGAGATTCTTTAAAGTCCCACACCGAGTTAAAGTTGTCCTTAGGTCAGCAGGGAGTTCATGAACATAGAGTTTGGCTTGAGTGTTAGTTTGCCATTGAAGAACGTAACCTTTACTTTAGTTTCCTTAGGGGCGAGATGCACCAGTTATCCCTTAACTAAATCAGCCGGGTCCCTGGCAGCTGAACCTTTCCAGCTCAAAAAGAAACAAATCCCACATAAAAGAATGACTTGTGTGATCTTGGGAAGAACGGGAAGAGGAGGAGGAGAGGGTGGCATTTCCTTCCTCCTTAATTTTAGAAACAGAAACCTTCTTCCCTAACCCTGCCTGCTCCACAAGCAACAGTGCCATCAATGCCTGCTGGGTTCGAGCACCCACCTTGCCATCTCCATCTGCATAGGTGGCAATCGTTGTGACCGACGGGCGTCCCCAGGACGGAGTGCGGGATGTGGCAGCGAGGGCCAGAGCAGCCGGCATCGAGATCTTTGCCATCGGGGTTGGCCGGGTGGACATGCACACGCTGCGGCAAATAGCCAGCCAGCCCCAGGATGACCACGTGGACTATGTGGAGAGCTACAGCGTCATAGAGAAGCTGACCCACAAGTTTCAAGAAGCCTTCTGTGGTAAGTCCTCGCCACACAACCCTTGGGTTAGAATCATAGAATAGTTAGGGTTGGAAAGGACCTTAAGATCATCAGGTTCCAACCCCCCTGGCATGGGCAGGGACACCTCGCTCTAAACCATATCACCCAAGGCCTCGTCCAACCTGGCCTTGAACACTGACAGGGATGGAGCATTCACAACCTCCCTGGGCAACCCATTCCAGTGCCTCACCACCCTAACAGGAAAGAATTTCCTCCTTACATCCAATCTAAACTTCCCCTGTTTCAGTTTGAACCCATTACCCCTTGTCCTATCACGACAGTCCCTAATGAAGAGTGCCTCCCCAGCATCCCTATAGGCCCCCTTCAGATACTGGAAGGCTGCTATGAGGTCTCCACGCAGCTTCTCTTCTCCAGGCTGAACAGCCCCAACTTTCTCAGCCGATCTTCATATGGGAGGTGCTCCAGTCCCCTGATCATTCTCGTGGCCTCCTCTGGACTTGTTCCAACAGCTCCATGTCCTTTTTATGTTGAGGACACCAGAACTGCACACAATACTCCAAGTGAGGTCTCACAAGAGCAGAATAAAGGGGCAGGATCACCTCCTTCGACCTGCTGGTCACGCTCCTTTTGATGCAGCCCAGGATACGGTTGCTTTCTGGGCTGCAAGCGCACACTGAAGCCGGCTCATGTTCATTTTCTCATCGACCAGCACCCCCAAGTCCTTCTCCACAGGGCTGCTCTGAATCTCTTCTCTGTAGCTGTGTCTGGGATTGCTAGCCAAGAGCTGCGAGGGGCTGCAAGCTTTACACATGGGAGTTGTAGGTGTGACTACTCTTTATCCATCCGCTTCCTTGTTCCAAGGACTTGGTTCTGCAGGAGCATGAAGCAGTATGAAAGATGGATGACCTTTGAAGTTGCCTTTGAAGTATTTCAGGTTTGGGTTAGGGAATAGCTTGGTTTAGTTAAGGAAGTCTCCAGTTTGTAAACTTGACCCACATGCTCCTTGAGGCCTTGAAAAAGAACCTGGAAAACACGTTCTTTATAGAGCTAAAATAATGGGGCTTATGTTTAAGCCTATCTGGGCAGTTCTGAGAATCTGGCTTTGTAATTTCCCCCCACCAGTATTGTCTTCGGAATTCCCACTTCAGCAAGGAATGGTTTCATTACCCTGCTAGAGGCTGAACTGCCTTTGCTGACTACGCTATTGGCTTTGCAAGCCTTGTGGGGCAGGAGACTCTCCTGGCTGGTGCAGTATCTAACGCCTTTCTGCACGGCATATAAAGAGCCTGGCTCTCCTGCAAACACATACTCACTCCTCCATAAACCAGTGAATGGAGTGAGAAAGCTTTATTACTTTCAAATGTACCCACACGGCTGTAGGAGGTGGCCTATAAATATCCATTTACTGTGTCAGCAAGAGAGGCTTGGGGGGGTTCGCACGCCCATCGCGTGCGGCAACACCTTTTAAGAGGTGTGATACACCGCAGTGCTTATGGCAAGGCATTGCAAACACATACACACAGATGGACCTGCGAAACTCCAGTTCCTTTCAGAGGTGTAAGATTTCATGACTCAGGCTGGAAATGATGGGGGGAGCAGCTTCTTGTGGAGGAAAATGTCCTCCTCTGCAGGAAAGAGGTAAATCCTGCTTATAAAGCGAGTCGTGTGTTGTAATCTGGTGTCACTGCATCAGAAGCTCATGAAAGAGGGGAGCAAATACTTCATACTGAAGGGATAGAGATGAAGTTTCAGAAGGTGGGATCCAGGCTGTGAATATTTGCAGGAGCTGCCCTGGAGTCAGCCTGACACAGAGAGGGCTGACAAAGCGTTTTGAAGCTCTGGCACTGATGCCATTCCAAAAGATAAAGAGGAAAAAGGCCCTTTCTGTGCCTTGCTCTTCCAATTCCTAACGTGCAGATGACAAAGCGCTCCCCAGGGTAAAAACCCTCAGAGGTGCATCCAAGGGAAGCCTGCACTAAGGATTATTACAGCTAACAGAGAAGAGCAGCACGTTAGCTGCCAAGTGGGCTGTTATCGTGCTATGCAAGCAGCTGCACAAAACCATCCTTGGAGATGTACCCAAACACCACCTGCTATTGCGAAGCACGGTTTGTGGGTACTGACAGCAGGAAGGACTGTGCTGCGATGTCCGAGCTGTTTCCCATAGTGCTCAACAAGCACATGGGAAAAGGGACAGCCTTGGCAATCTGGCCACTAGTTTGACTAATGAGATCTCTGTAGGCTTCAGAGAACTCAACCTGAGAGTCCAGCCTTACAGCCAGCTGCATGGTTAGTGATATTCCCAATGATGTGAGCTCTGTATATGCAAGAAAGATCTACCAGCCCTGGCACAATCTGCAGACATGTGGATTGGGAAGGCCAGAAGAAGTACAAAACACATGCAGGACAAAACACAGACAACTTGAGATAGCGAATAGAAGCCCCTTGACTTTTCATAGGCCTCAATGCTTGGTTTTCTGCACAGATTTCCCTGGTATTTGTAAATGAACTTGCTTCAACCAGACCTGTTTACTGTTGAGTCCGTTTTCCATCACCATTGCAGCAGCTGTGACAGTGTTGTCAGTCACAGAATGCTGGTGGCTCAAACTGCTGTGATCCAGTTTCTGTTTGCTCAGCATCTCAGGAGTCAGATCCAGGTTCAGATCACCAGGAGAAGTGTGTGTAGAGTGAATCTGAAAGCTGCACGTGAGGGGGGCTCTGAAGTGCGTGCATGTGGATCCCTTCCAGGAAAGACAACTGTACACGGGGCTGATCTCACTAATCATATTTGTATGACATAGCTGGAAAATATTGGTATTGGCCAGCCCAGATGGTAGCAAACCTCATCCAGTAGCACTGGAGAGTGAAGTATATTGTGATACACTCAACAGACAGATGGGTTTTGCCCTCAGAATGGAGTCCTGGCTGTGCCTTTGAGTCAGGAGACTTCTGTAAACTTCTCCTTGTATCTCAGTCACTACCCTCTGCTGTTTTGCCTTGCTGCAGAATGGACTGGGTTGTGTTTAGTGTACAGGACAAATATCATGCTTTGTGCCAGGGCTCGGTTGAGAAGCCTTGGCATGGGCTCTGATTTTAATCTCCACCTTTGCTTACAGTGGTGTCAGACCTGTGCGCCACTGGAGACCATGACTGTGAGCAGATCTGCATCAGCAGCCCAGGAGCATACACTTGTGCCTGTAAAGAAGGTTTCACACTGAACAGCGATGGGAAGACCTGCAGTGGTATGTAATCATTTCCATTCGCACGGAGCCGAGCTGTGATCTGCAACGCAATGGTGGGGACAGGACTGGGACACAGTAGATGTGTTCTGTTCAGAAAGGCAAACCACTTATAACCAAGAGTTATTTTGAAACCCTGAGTGTGAACTGCGGTTCATTAAACCTATTCCATTAGCAATAAAACGACACTCAGGTAACATATTCCTGCATAAGTAATTGGGGTCTTGGTTGCTGTTTTCCTTTGCCCCCTTCCCAGCTTGCAGCAGTGGGTCAGGATCTGCTCTGGATCTCGTTTTCCTCATCGATGGCTCCAAGAGTGTGCGGCCTGAGAACTTTGAGCTGGTGAAGAAATTCATCAACCAAATAGTGGACTCGCTGGAGGTGTCGGACAAACAGGCTCAAGTTGGCCTGGTTCAGTACTCCAGTTCTGTCAGACAGGAGTTCCCACTGGGGCAGTTCAAGAACAAGAAGGACATCAAAGCAGCAGTCAAGAAAATGGCCTACATGGAGAAAGGAACAATGACGGGCCAGGCTCTGAAGTATCTCATTGACAGCTCCTTTTCCATCATCAATGGAGCCAGGCCTGGGGTCCCCAAGGTGGGCATAGTCTTCACTGATGGACGGTCACAAGATTACATCACTGATGCTGCTAAGAAAGCCAAAGACTTAGGTAGGTGTCTTGAATTGTCCCTTGGATCTAGTACTGCACCTAGCATAATCCTAGGTATGAATCTTTCTCTGGAGATATGTCTTAGGGTAGAAACATGTTACTATAGAGTGACTTTGTTGAGATGCTGCCTGACTGGTGTTGCATGCTCATATAGAACTTGGAGCAACTCTGCCTGCAGTTCAGACTAATCTTGATTTGCCAGCAGCTGGTTTTGTTCCCAGAGCTCCTCTGTGTCTTCAGTCCAAGCCTGCTGGAGGTCTCTGTGCTGGGCAGGATGGAGTTTCACACATTTGGTGTGGGATGCAGGCTGGCCTAGCATGCCTCACACAGATGTGAAGGAAACCGCAGGGAGAAGCTGAGGGTTTGTCTGATGTTGGTAATGAAAGTCAGGTCAGCAGCAGTGGCACTCATGGTGAGGCAAAGCCAACCATCAGAGAACCCCTTAGAGTACAATGGGAGCTATAGGGCCAAGTGCGGCTCGGCTGTATCAGCCTGAAGGAAAAGGAAAAGAAGAGATGAAACGATAAACAAAGCAGAAACATGGATTATGAGGGTATCCATGCACTCCCTGCTCAAATCCCAGGCACACTAATAAGGAACTTTCTCCAGCTTCTGCTGGAATACTAAAAGAGCACAGTGGCCACATATTGACATATGTATATGTCTAAACAGAGTGAAGTATAAATAGCTTGAGATCTGCCCCTTTGCTGACCTGCTGAGCGAGTTCCCAGTCTTCTGCCATCTCTGGGGTAAATGGATGCAGCCCATGTGAACAGGCTCATGAATTGTTAAATCCTTTCTTTCCCTTTAACTCTGGGCTCCACCACTAGATGGGACTAAGGGCTAGCATGTGATAATAAAGCTCAGGTGAGAGCTCATGAAAAGCTGCTGTTTACAAAGCAAGCTGATGTGTTCTGTGGGTGTTCAGCTCTTATAAAACAAAAGGTCCTTATCAGCTGTATCTGTAGAATTTAGTCCTCTGTGATGATAAAACTTTATGCCTTTTTGATTCCCCCTCTCCTGTTCCTACACAGAATTCTCCAATGTGTTCAGAAGTTCTTTGAGGGGATAAATAACAAGATGCTTATAACAAGACTCCAAACATGTTCATTAAGTAACAGTAGGGAAAAAAAATAACTGTTGTATATATCCAGAGGTAGAAAAACGAGGCAAAAAAAGGGAAGAGGGGAAAGCATTACCCGTGTCTAGACAGGGACAAGTGGAAAAAGTATTTCAAAACAGGGGTTAACCTGTATCACCATTCAAATCAATGGGAAAACTGCAGTTCAGCTCAACAGAAACAAGCTTAAGGCAGAGGGGACCAATCAGTTTGTTGGCAGTGAAGCATGTTCTCACCTCCCAGTATTGGGTCGCTCTTGACATACTCCATAAGTTGCAATTTCAGAAGGAGATTCAGCTGCAGTTCTGCTGACCCAAAGGTCCCCATGGCACAGGGGATGGAGCTGTACGGGCTGATGAATGGTGGCCGCAGGCTGCTTTGGAAACATCCACTCTTTACTTTTGCTGTGTTATTGCTTCCATGTGAGCTGGATGGATGGCCCTGTCAGGGCGTTATGATCATCTGTCCTGCCTCGTAGCTCCAAAGCACTGCTCTTGTGCTGATAGTGGTCATTGTCCAGATAATTTTGGTAGGACTTTGCCTGCAAAACTACTTTGAACCCCCGGGTGAAAGCAGTCTATGATAGTAGAGGGTAAGGGGGTGATTCCCAGTTAACATTTGCAGAGCTGTGTGGAGAGCAGGGGTCCAGAAGGTGAGCAAGGACATACAGACTGGGTACCACAGCAGCAAGATGCTCCATAGGTGTCCAACTGACAGGCTCCCATTGCTCCCAGGCTTTAGGATGTTTGCTGTGGGAGTTGGCAATGCTGTCGAGGATGAGCTGAGGGAAATCGCTTCAGAACCAGTAGCTGAGCACTACTTCTACACAGCTGACTTCAGAACCATCAGCAACATCGGGAAGAAGCTACAAATGAAAATCTGCATTGGTGAGAGTGGGGGATTGGGGAGAACGGGGGGGTTTAGTCCCAGCATGGAAAGGCTGGAAGCAGAAGAACAAAAATGCCTCTTCAGATGGATGTTGGAAAAAGCATTCTGTTCTCAGTGTACAGTTGGCAGGGTACATGGAACCATGAGACATCAACAGTTCAGGTGCATACCTGAACCACAGCCACCCCTGCACCTCAGCCATCTCCTCCTCTCACAAACTGCTTTCTCCTTCCCTTTCCTCTACTTTCCTTCCCCTCTCTGCCTTATTCAGAAATTACGAATTCAGAACGTACCAGGGCCTGAGAACAGCCAAAAATACATGAGGAAAAGAGAGATGCTCTTAAAAGAGAACCTAGGGGTTGACTTATTCTGGCTTAATTTGAAGATCATCACGAAATTGGACATCTGAGCTGAAGCTCACCAGCCACCGGCTGCTTCTGCAGTCAAACAGGCACCCCAGGGGTGACACATTTCAACTTGCAATAAGCACCTAATGTCTTCCACACGGCTTGTAGGTGTATAAACTCAGGTAACATGAACGCTGCGTTGCTCGCATTTGGACAGCCTAGTGAAACAAAGGCTAAGGGAGCCAGGCATGAGAAGAGGAGGTAAAGAATAAGCTAACATTTAAGGAGTGTTGACCTGTAAATAACTTGAGTCTGAAAATGGTTTTAAAAAGAACTACCAGTTATCTTTCTGTTTGAAGGAATCAGATGCCTCCTATGAAATATTGGCCCTTTGCAATGCATCTGCTCCATCAGGCAGATCATAGCCAATCCCAAACACCCCAGCTTCATGCCAGGCACTGAATACCTTGCAGCGCTTCTGACAGCTCTACTGCCAGGCCCACCAGGAAGCTGGCACTCATTTGTCAAGTCCAGGTGCTCAGAGTGCTTTATCCCATAAGGCAAATGTTGCCTTCCAGTTTCCAGCAGGATTTATTGCACCCAGCCCTGATGGGGCTCATTCAGTTTCCCAGTAGGGCTCTGCCAAGCTCAGCTCTAGCTCCCATGAGTGTGTAGACCTGCTTGAGTGCCCCATAGCCCCATATGAGCTGCTGTCATGGGATATGGAGACCAGATTCAGCTATAAACGTTGCCCAGTGTTACTCCCCTTTGTTTTGCTATTTCTAACACTGTTATTTGTGCCAAACCCAAGAGATATCCATGTAAATATTAGTGGGTAGCAGTACGTGACTCATCTGGGTTTGTCCTTGAGTGTCTATTAGAGAGAAAAAGCACTTGGGAAGCTAAGGGCTTTGCCTCAGGAAAATCGGGTTCTGCTCCTTACACCCTTACAGACGTTCTGGGTCATGCCAGACACATTCCCTGCTCTCCAGATCCCTAAAGATGGGACCTCCCTTTCCTCCTGGGGAATGCTGAGGGAGAACACCCTCCAGGGTGCTGTGTCTGCAGAGCCTGGAAGCCAGGCTTGCAAGATAAAACCTCTCTTTGCCATGGCTACTTTAAAGAGTAAAGAACAAGATGATGGGAGCTATATGAAAGCCCCAACATATTGCATTTGAATGTCTTTTAAGGAAGCAAATACATTCAAGGCTTCAGCATCCAAACAAATAAATGAATAAATAATTAAAATAAGGTTTGGAGAAAGTGTTTGTTTGCCAGAAGATCAGTTTTGGTGAAGAGCTTAACATTTGAGTTAAAAAAAAGGAAGGAAAGGAAATATTTGCATGTGTTTGATTTCCAGTGCCAGCTTGTATTTATCAACAGATGGCTAGAAATCTCCTCTTAATATCCAGCTTTAGTTTACTCATAACTGGCTTAATCCTGTTGTGCTTTTGTGTAAGTCATGTCCTTTCCCTCAAAAAGTCCTTCTCCTATTTCCTCCTTCCATTTGCTAAGCAGTTGAGCTGACTCACTGTGGCCTTGTAAACATCTCCTTTCCTTTCCCAGTCATCTCCGTACCCTCTTTTGCTTCTATTCCAGTTTAAGTTAATTTGCCTTGAAGATCATATGTAAATTATTGACCTAGATGAGCAAACTGATGTATGCACATTGCTCTGCCTGCTAAAGAGATGGAGCACTGAGAGCAAAGCTCAAACAAGTCTCAACTGTCAAATGGCAAACAGGAGTAAGGGTATGGCCCAGCATGGTGATGCTATTGAGAGGACAGAGGTTGCTTTGAGCACTGTATCTGCTCAGATTCAAATGCTGGGGGCAAACGTTAAGCATCAGTGGTAGAACTCAGTGGGATTTGGGGAAAATGGAAATCCAGGAGGGATGATTTCTGCACTATATAACAGAATAGCAATACATCTGGCCTATATAACAAGAAAATGTGAGATCTTTCTAGTCATCTGAGGTTAAAGCCAGAAGTGATCACTCAAATAACAGGAATAACCTTTTGATTTCCTTCCTGCTTCTGATAAAGAAAATACAAATTGCTTTATTTCACATGTCTCAGTGATTTTGATCCAAGCCCTTTTCTCTGCCACTTAACTCATCCTCTTGATATTGTGATCCACAGAGGAAGATCCATGTGAATGTAAATCCATTGTGAAGTTCCAGACAAAAGTAGAAGACCTCATAAATTCATTGCAGAGGAAATATATCCTTTGGAAGGTGTGTTTGGTCAGATTTCAGCAGGTTGGGATGTGCCTTTTGGAGGGAGCAGTGGGGGGAAACCTACTCATGAAGGAAGGAGGTTGGGTAGGTGCTCAGGAAGCTGGGAAACAAGGCACTTAGGTTATGAATGCCTACAAGGAGAGTCCCTGCACCAGAGTGAATGGTCTGACACAGAATAAGTAGACCAAAAAGAAATAGACCCAAAGGAGAATATGGCAAACCGTTGGAAGGCAGCAATGAGCCGTAGGCATCAAGATCTAGGTCAGGTTCTAGGCAGATGCCTAGTCATGCATGGGATGCTGCTGCTCCCTCTGCAAGCTGGCGGTCCCATGAAGAAGGCTGGAATGTGAGGGCTGTGAGCAGACCAACCACTGATGCACACATGCAGCTGATGACTCAGTCATTAAAGCCCCATGGGTGGGATTCTGTTCATGATGGTTACTGTCTACAGTGCAAACATCTGAGCTGGCTACCTAAATCCCTACACACCACTGGAGAGAAGGAGGGTCTTCTACAGCAAACCACCTCTGACTGGTGGTGGTCTGGATATATGCAGGTGGAGAGGTCCAGTGAGGTGAATTGGATCCCATCTGACCTGAGCTGGTGGGGCTGCATTCTGCATGCTGGGTCCTGTCACATTGCACAAAGACCATGAATAAGAGGTTGAAAGAGAAACAAGGAAAAGAGGAAAACTTGTGTATAGAATCATAGAATAGCTTGGGTTGGAAAAGACCTTAAAATCATGTAGTTCCAACCCCCTTGCCATGGGCAGGGACACCTCCCACTAAACAAGTATGAGATTCTAAGTTCTCATAGGGAGGCTCACACAGGGCTGGGGAGATTTTCCATTACTGAGAATAAAGGAAGAATATGATTTTAAAAGCAGTGTTTTAATGTATTCACACATTTCTGTGTATTTTCTCCTCTTTACTCAAATTGAGTGAAATCCACGACTTCTGTTATGCAAAAGGTCAGAGTAAATCAGTAGTTCTCACCCAGTGGGTTGCTGCTCCCAGGCACATCATGAACAGCAATTAGGGAAAAGAGCAGAAAATTGTGACACACCATAGAGCTCTAAGAAAAGCTCCACTCATCACACAAGCCATGCTGCTCAAGGTCAGGAATTCTCTGTCAACCACTCAAAACACACTCCAATCAGGCTCACCATTTTTACTCCTCCTTTCATAGTAAATGTAGAGGTGCAAGTGAGTGTTTGTGCACACAGGAACGTTTTCTACCTTCAATAAAAGTTCATCAGCCTCATCATCTCTGGAGATGCCAGAGCAGATGATGGCAGCATCCCTGTGCTACCTGCTCCCTGCAAGGTGACTCCATTGCTTACCTGCTCTGCGAGCCAGGGGATGAATTGAGCAATGAATCACTGCTGTGCACTGTCCTTTTTATCCCTTAACTCTTGCTCACTGGAAGCTGTGGCAAAGAGGATCGAAGCCCTGGAGAACAAGATCATCTAAGATCCTAAAACACTCTATTTCCCTCCTTCCTAACGGATGAAGACTAGAACTCCTTCAAGTCATAACGGGCAGCAGCTCAGCCACAGTGCTATGGCAGCTTCTATTCCTTTAAAGAGTCTAGTCTACCTGTATTTGTTTAAAAGGGCAGAAGTAGGACAGTAGAGCAGACATTGTATAACAGGCAGAGCACCGTGTGTGACTGAGAGCTAGACCATGCTGATGTGTGTTATATCATATAGAATTCATGTATGAAAAAAAGTGGAAAGATTTGGTTTTGATTTAAAGCTTAATATATATATGTGTGTGTTAATAAGTACTTGATTACGAGTTCTGTGAATCCTTGCCGTGTTCTTCTCCATCTTTTGTTTCTATGCATGAGATAATTTAATTTAAAAGTCAAAGTGACTTTAAAATCAACTCAGATGCTGAGTGTAAAATGCCAGAGCCGCTGATCAGCTTCTTATTGTAAGCATGACGCATTTGTCAGTAGGTGAAATATAGTAAAGAGCTCCGAGTGTGCATTGCAGACAACATAGGGTAGGGTGCTGCTGCTAGGTGGGCTTATCCATAGCTGCTGTACAACGTAAGAAAAGAAAAGCTCAGCTTCCCTTGCCAATGGTCAACATCTCACTGGCACCTGAGCTAGACCTGTTCTAGGTAAGTCCTGATGATGTGCAATGAGCCAGCAGCCGCGGCTCTGTGTAGCACAAGGCAGTGCTGTCAACACCAACCCCAGGAGATGCGCCCCTGCTCTTCAATTCTCTGGTCTCTACATCCTCAACTGGAGCTAAAGAGCATCAGGAGCACCTAAAACACAGGGAACAGCTGCCGGTGGATGTGGTGCCTTCATCACTGCGTCAACCTGAGGCTCCTTAGCTCCTTCCTCATCCCTCACCTCTAAGCACCTTCAAAGCCAGTAACTTCATCTCAAGAACTTGCAGACTCTTCTGTTCCTGGATTCCCATCACTGGCAAGACAAGAGAGCAAAGTGGACTGGAGGCATCCAACGCTGCCTGTCTCCTACAGCTGTAGCCTGGCTAAGGGTGGAGGGAAGAGGCCGTGCTCATCCATGGCCCCGTGGAGCATCACCGACCGCGAGCACAAGGGCTTGGGTTTGGAGGGGTTTGTCTTTATTTTTTTGTATCAAAATATTTATACTTGAGCCACATGAACAGCTTTTGAGGATGACTTGGCCTGGTCAGAGCTGTCACCACAGCACGGGGCAGCATTAAACATTTGCTGAAAGTTGTAAAAGGGAATTTAAGTTATTTCTGTGTGAAAGCTTTGAGGCAGCTGCCTCACAACAGCACCTCTCCTTCGGCTGGACAGTGGGTAGGAAACCCTCCATCTCATTTCATAGAATGGTTTGGGTTGGAAAGAACCTTAAGAGCATCCATGCCCAAACCCCTGCCACGGGCAGGGACCCCTTCCACTGGAGCAGCTTGCTCCAAGCCCCTGTGTCCAACCTGGCCTTGAACACTGCCAGGGATGGGGCAGCCACAGCTTCTCTGGGCACCCTGTGCCAGCGCCTCAGCACCCTCACAGGGAAGAGCTTCTGCCTAAGAGCTCAGCTCAGTCTCCCCTGTTTCAGTTTGAACCCATCACCCCTTGTCCCATCGCTACAGTCCCTGATTAAGAGCCCCTCTCTGGCACAACCTTTCCTTTCAGTCCCTTCCTGTTGTCCATCCTGTTGTCTCTCTCTGTTTGAAACCAGCGTCAAGCATAGCCCAGAAAACATCACATATGATGGAAATATTTCACAACTGTCCCCATGGTTCCTCTGGGCCCAAAACCCCTTCCAGCACCGTGTGCCCTGGGAAGAGGCAGAGGGGTTTTTACCATGGCAAAGCCAGGAAAAGGGATAACAAAAACTCCTGGCCAGAGGAAAACCCAGGAAGCAACTGGGCTTTGAGAAATGCATCCATGAAAACAGAGCTGAGGGGCTGGAAACCTCACTGCTCACTGATGGCTGCTCATCGCCACACTGAGGTGGGGATGGAGCCATGGGGGTAGCTGGGAGCCTCATTTATCACTCTCAGCTAGGCTGAAATGCTTCTCTTGTGACAACAGAACTTTATGGCCAGTAAAGTTGCTGTTTGTGCCATGTTCCATCAGCCTAGCACTCATCTGGTCCTCGTGGAATACAATATCCAGGTTCCCTGACATATTTCTGGGCTTATTCTTCACTCTGGTGTCCTCATTTCCCATTTTTTCCTATGGCTCTTCAATTTAACAGCTGATCAGAGGCAATTCACTTCCATCTGATACGATGATGACAGCATTATTTTTCTGGGTGTTTTTCCCCAGTTACAATCAGTTTGCCAATGATGGCAATGAGCTCCTGGAGCTCATTTTCTTCCATGCCTATTTATTCTTTAAATGCCTTGAAAGTAAAATTTAATAGTCTCATGAACTAAGAGATGGATTGGATTTTAATTCCTGTCATGGCACCCATGGAAATGTCTCCATGATAAGGGATTGCTATTGTCATTATGCAGTTTAAGCCGTTTACCTGGCTTTTTCTGGTAATGGGATAGATTCATCTAAAGTGAGGGCTGGATTTTCACCTCCACAGGGAAACTGGATCCATTCAACCTATGCTTGCCCATTGCCACTTTAACCCAATAGCTTCCATAAAACCCAGTGCTGTTCATTTCTTTGAGGAGCAAAGCAATCCTCAGCCCTTTCTAGGGAGGCTTATCCAGGTAGGTCTATGCTTAGGGGCTTTGTGACTCCAACTGGGATGTGAAGGGCTGGTGCACCAAGCCCTTCAAACCTCAGCAAGGCATTTTGAGGAAGGACCTAGGAGACACGGTGTCTAAATCACCAAGTTACTTGTTTCAGAGCAACACTCCTGGATGCTGCAAAGAAATGCCCCTGCATGCAGACACAGCAGCTCTTCTTTTGAGTTTGTATGGAGATCATAGCACTGTATCTGCATTTCCCAAGCTATCTTTCCTGCCCATCCATCCATCCATCCAATCAGTAAAGCAGCAATCTGTATTTCTCTACACTATGGTCTTTACTCATTGAAACCTCAATCCAACCAAACCATTTGCCTTCTCCAGGCCTACTTCACGCAGTAGAACCCTCCACAAGGAACACAACACAGGACTGTTGCAGGTATAAACAGGAAGACTGCTTTTCCAGTGCTCTGCACTAGGAGGAGGGCCAAGCTCCATCATCAGGCAGAGAACTGCTGCTGTAACTAATATTTTGGTTCGTGTTGCAGATAAAGCAGAACTAAACTAATTACCAATTCATTTTCCTCCCTTCTCCTGGCTTTAAACAACAACAGAGCATTTGCATCTCCAAAGCCAATTAGTCACTGGGCTACAACACAGGCTTGTGACGTTGTAATTAGAGTTCATTAATGGATCGCCAACAGCAGCAAGATGGAAGCACTGTGATGAGCCTCTCTCTGCATTTCCTTTTACCTAATTACATCCTTATCTTGGGAACAAGAGCTGCTGCACACAATGAAGCCCCCCCAAACACTCATACATCCCCAGTTATGGAGTGACGGGCTTACAGTGGAAGCCTCCTTCTTGGAGGCTTTAAAATGATCCTTCTATAGATATGGAGCTTCTTCACCCTCTCTTTGCTGCAGCATCCTACGCATCACCAGCCCTTCTGTCATTTGCCACCGATTCCCCAGTTCCTTTGGATCTTCTGGCAAAACGATGTCCTTTGGGAATGGAAAAAACCCTGGACCACGTTTTCCTCACCTCCCCTTGGGTGCCGAGAGGCTTCCACAAGATCAAAACCTCCACTGCTCCTAAGGGCAGGAGGGAAGCTCCGTCTCCCAGCAGATCCCTCTGGGGAGGCAATTTCCTCATGCAGGTCACTGATATTATAACACAGGGCCATTAGTAATCAAATAAGAAAGTGCTTTCAATTAAACTGAGGGCTTCTAGCTTGGTAACAGCTTCCAATAGCAAATTGTACCACTAATACAGCGTAATTGCTGCTAATGAATGGGTAGGTAGCAGACCAGTTATTATTATGATCTTTCTCCAAGCAACATCAGGCAGCAAAACCTCTCTTGGGCTTTATGAATGTACTGTTCCTTGTGAAACGCTCCCTCGCTCTTGGGTAATTCCATGAGCAGACAGGTTTAGGGTGCTGGTAAATTTATGGTGTGCATGTTATTATTTGTCATTTTACGTTCAGTTTGGGAAGAGGCTTCACCAAGGCAGAGCACACCACCCCCTGTGATCGCCTTAGTGATGGGCTTGCTTAGCATCAGAGCTCTGGCAATGAAGTGTAAGTGGGTTTATACTTCAGATAGTCATTGGGATTTACTTATCTTTTAATCACCCATCACAGCAGGAAGTGGTTTGCATGTTTTACAGTTGTGGTGTTTTACTGCTCTGTGACCTATCCCTACTGTTACATCCTGTGTAGATGAGACTAGGGATAACCATAAATGCTCAACGGTTTATCTGTTATCAGTTTATCCATCCTCAGGTGGTGCTGTGTTCCATGGTGGGGATCAGATTGCTCCCCCTCTCATCTGGATGGAGAAAGTGAACGTTCATGATGTAGAGCCTGCAGCATCATGAAGTGCTTGGGCCATGGTAGAAGGTGGTCAGGGATGGGGAGGGAGAGTTCTTGCTCACCAGGGCTGACCTGAGGCACATGAAGGACAAGGCACAGGGGTGATTTCACAGCTGAGCAAGGAGGTGCATTACTTCCTGCTCACACACCTTTGATTCTCCATCCTGCCTTGGGATGCCCAAGGCCTTTCCACTGCCTCGCAAGCAGGCACAGCAAGGGACAAAGCCTCTGGTATAGTGGGTATAGGAGTTAGGGGCAACTTCTCCACATCCATCCATCAGTCAGCTGGAAACGGGGTCTTTGGCACCACAGGTCAACCTTACACAGTTGTGAACAGGTACCATGAGCATGTCCTGCACCAGAGCTCCTGGTGAATTAACACATGCAGGATACCTGCAGACAGCAAGGAACACAACTGGGTATGGCAATAGCTGCACTGGGGTGATGTGTCAGGGATCCAGGAGCCTCAGGGACTCTTGCTACGCTATCAGAAAGGCATAAAATGAATAAAGCACCTGACCTTTCATGCATCGACTTCAATGCAATCACCTGACACTTCTGGTTTATATCAGCGCACCCACAGATTAGCCACGGTGTCTCACCAACTAATAGCAATAGGAAGGAAGCAATTACTGGTACCGCCACTAGAGCCGACAGCAAGGCCTGCTTTGGGGAATAAAGGATTCATTTCAAATGTATATGAAGGAGATCTTGATAGCAGCAGGTGTAAGGGGAAAGAAAAGTTAAGGTAGATGGTGGGAAGCGAGATGCAATAGCAGAAGTGGAAGTCTATTCAGAACTGAAGTGCAATCATTTTACCATGGAAGAGAGTGATGAAAACTTCCCAAACCCACACACCATTTCCTTCTAGCAATAACTGAACTAAGTGAGAAAACTCACAGGGAGAAGGTACAGACAGGAAGATGGGGGTTTGCATCTCAGGATCCCCAAAATCAGAGTTAAGGGGAAGAAAGGGTGAGACTGGCATTAAACCAACAAACTTCCATCTGCTTAAAATGGACCATCTGAGTCCTCCAAGTGATGCACTGGGGTGCAAGGGCTGGTAGCAATTGGTCTGAACCAGGACCAAGCCCATCTCTTCCCAGTCTGCAGGGAGCCATCACACCGTGCAGGGATGCTCAGTGTCCATGAGCCTCTTCCCACCTCCTCTATCTTGTTTTACCTGGCTGCTTTTCTCCCACTTAATATTTCCAGGTCATTTAAGCTGCCTTATTTCCTTAAGGAGAGGCAAGTGCAGACCATAACCGGAGCTGATAAATCCTTAGACCTTGACCTCAACATTTATTTATCTGCTCAAGCTGATGCTGTTGCTCCATACCCCTGCAATATGCCCCTGCGGCCACTAGATGGCCCCATCTGAATAGGAATCACTGGTTCCCCACTGAACCAGACCTGCACCCCCGCTACCCGAGTGCTCGCCTTGACACCGACAGTGATTACAGAGGACACCACTTATCCCTCTGTCATTTGCACCGCATCAGCGCTGTTTGATTTGGTTAACCTTCGCGTCAAAGAGCAGCTAAATAAATAAACGAGCACCTCTGCAGGGTGTGCAGCACCCAAGGAGGAATCCACAGCAGCTCTGGGTAACATGGGGATACAGGAAGGTTGCACCGAGGTTGTGCTTACTCCTTTGGTTTGATGCACCCTGTTCTATCCCCCATCCTCTGTGCATCACCAGGCCAATGGGACTCTTACCTTTGCTGTCTTCCCCAGGGGAACAGGAAGGAAAAGATGCTGTTTCTTTGCTGAAAAAGCACAGCACCAAACCAGTGGCTCCCATCTCACCTTTTATGCTACAGGGGCATTAATGAACCCTGGGGTTAATCAGGGTTATTGTAGCTCCAGGTGAGGGAAAGGAAGGAGCAGAAGCGGTGTGAATTCCCCACAGGTGTTTTGGAGATAGGAAACAAGGATGGCCAGAGGGAGATGTAGCCTGTACCAGGGAAGGAGGGACTGAAACCAAACAGCCATGGGTAAAGGATGGATGCCTCAGAGGCTCCGCAGCAGGAGTCAGGGGAGGGACACTTCAGAGCTCAGCTGAACCCATTCCATGCTTGTCCTGCTCTGAGCAAAGTGCACACCCAGAGACCTCCAGAGGTGCCCTCCCATCCAAACCACTGTGTCCTGCATCCCCCCTCCTGGCTCTGTTCCTATGAAGCAGCAGCGTGGACACTGCTGCCTGATCCTGATGTTACCCAGTGGCGGCCACCACTCTGCAAAGTGCCCTCACAAGACAAATGGCATTATAGCATCCCCTGCAGGCACTGCATCCTGACCTAAAGCAGGGCCAACAGGCTTTTAGTGTCCCAAACCAGATTCTCTCCTCCCAGACTTCAGGAGCGCTCCTCATCTCCCTGTCTGCACCCTCACTGCAGTGCACAAGAAAGCCCTCAAGGGAAGAGACCTGGATTCTTGCTGGACAGACTTCTCCACAGGGACAAGCTCCTTCCCTGTTCTCATCCTTTGACTTTGACCTCAGTATAGGCTGATGCTCTCTGTTTCTCCAGGTTGTGCAAAGGAGAGCAAGCACCTTTATATCCCTTGGGCACAGGCTCTTGTTTAAAGGCAGAGGGTGCCTCCATGGCAGACCTCCCACTTCTCTTACCAAGTGCTCTGCCTGGGGATGATGGTCTTTAGGCTCAGGGTTTATTTAGCCTGGGATCAGCTATTCCCTCTTCAGCGGCCTGGTTTTGTCATGCTAGCACACAGTGTCCCAGGGGGACATTTTTCCTCTTTGGCTCTCAAAAGAGAGATCACAGAAGTGACTGGGCTGTGTGACAAGGCTCATCCCATAATATGTCCAGGAACTGCAAGACATCATTTCTCACATCACAGGAAAATCGCCCACAGCCATCAGAAAGGGGGGAAAAAAAAAAGAAGATGCTCTAATAGCAGGCCATTATCTCATGACAATGGTTCTGTTAACACATGCTAACCCTTCTGATGTGCTTAGAAAGCTGAGAAATGAAATGAAAGGTGCTGTCGCTAAGGAGAGCTTGTATTTAGTGTTGCTGTCCAAGTGGAGAAATGGGACGTGGGATTTGAGACAGTGGTCCTGCCGGCTTAAGGAAATAGATTGAAAACTGCATTTGGAGTGCAGAAACAGCATCGAGCATGTTGCAGTTTGGCTCATTTGGGATTCCAGTCATACAGGCAGTGACACTGTGGAGGATTTAGCTTGCCAATCAACATCTTATTTATTTCCTCTGAACAGGATATCTTTATTCTGCGTCCGTCTCTGCCTCCAACATCTATGGAGATTGCAGAATCAAGCAGCTTGGCTCATTTTGGTTTGGTTTGTTTTGTCCCGAGCAGCATGAGAAGTAGGAAAATATCGATAGCAGGAGACAGCTCCTTGGCACCATGGGCTGCATTCAAACTCATTCACCTCCAGGTCACCCGGCTGTGTCTGGCTCGCATCTAGGGATTACATGGTGGGGAGGCTGGAGCTCAGCTTGCTGGGGATCATCTGCTTGGTCTTGGGTAGAAATACCTATGTAAGTGCCTTAAGCAGAGGTGGATGAGGAGAGAAGAGGTTTAGAGGAGGACAAAGACTGGAGAAGAAAATCCAGCTTTCCTGTCTTGGGACTTGAAGCAGGGTCCCATGCACACGGTTCGTGTCTGTTGGCCCATGTGAAACAAGTAATGGCCCAGAGCTCAAGTGCAGAGCAGCTCTCAGCTGAATGTACCAGAGGTAAGAACCCTGGAGAAAGGCTGGGGCTGTGGACCCAGAGCTGTGGGGTCCTGTTTAAAGCCCTACCTCTCCCCAGCATGGAGCATAGCACCCAACGGGATGTGGTACCCAAGGAGATGCGGTACCCAAGGGGATGCGGTCCCCAAGGGGATGCGGTACCCAAGGGGATGCGGTACCCAAGGGGATGCGGTACCCAAGGGGATGAAATTGGGCAGCACCCCTAGGGTTTCCATCTTCTCAGAGCTGGAGCCAGTGTATCCCTTCACTCCCCTCCAGGATCTCTTCATGTCTTCATGGCCTTCTCAAGTTCCTGGAGCTCCCAAAAGGCAGAGACAGTGCTGATTTGTTGTAAACATGAGGACTGCCCTGGTAGTCTGGGCAGCCAGAGGCTTGCTATTGTTCCAGGGGAGAACCAAACCAAACCAAACCAAACCAAACCAAACCAAACCAAACCAAACCAAACTAAACCAAACCATTTCAAACAGAAACAACTGGCTGAGATTGGCTCTTTCCCTGTTATGTTTTGGGGTTCTTTTTAAAGCTTTTCCAGAACTCCCTGGGTGGGGAAAAGCATTCAAAATCTCCTTCTGCTCAAGAAAGAAACCTTTTCCTGCAGTTTTTCCCTCAAAAAAAGAATCTGGAGGTTTTTTTCCACTAATCCTCCTTGAATCAAGTAAAGAAAAAAGGTCATTTAAATGAAAGACAGTGCTCAGAAGGTTTAATCCGTTAAATTAGATGCAGTGAAATAAAACCACACCAGACACGTTTTTTCAATGAAGTATTTATATAAAAGATCTCTCTATTAAATTTGCCATTGTTTTTCCCTGAAAATATTTGAACTCTTTTACAAAACAAAACCCCGACTTCCTAAAAAGGACCATCAGAAAACAATTCTGGGCTGAAATGAATGTAACATTCTGGTTTGTTTGGGATTATGGAACAGGAAAAACAGGGTTTTCTGCAGACAAAAAACAGTAAATGCAGGACAGTGGGGAGGAAGGCCCCAGGCACAAACATTAGCACAGAAAAATGGGGTTTGCTTTAAAATTACATCTCAAGAATCTCAGAGAAGGGTGAAAGAAACAAAAAGCATCATTTCCATGTGTCAAACAGCCAAATGTTTCCATTTGCACTTTTAGTTTTGCTTTTCTTTTTTTTTCCCCCCAAAGTTTCATGTTCCTCCCACTTCATCAAATGAAATGGAGTCCAACAAAATAACCCCTCTCACTTCAAATGTCTCCAACAAAAGGTTTCCCTGCCTCACTTTCTGTGGGTAAGGTGGTAGTTTGCAGAGGAGCTCTATCACGGCCCAAGCATCTCTGTGGGCAGCAGAGCTCTGTCTTTCTCACCTTCCACCCATCATCCTCCCCACAACTCTACCAGGGTAAAGGTTTCCTACAGACACTAAAGGAGAGCTGGTTACAAAGATTAGCACTGTGAATTGCTCCTGAATTAAGGCCTTGTGCTGCAGGACCTCAGCTATTCCAACACCTAGAACAAAATAGTTACTTACTCCTATACTAACCTATAACCTATTTCAATACCTACAACAACACAGTTACTAACTCCTATGCTAAGCTATAACCTATTTCTGCTCTCTGTCTCTTTCTGCCTATGCCTGCTTTTTGGTGGGGATGGACCATTACTGTCTATTGGGGTGGCTGCAGCATCCTCCTGGCCTGGTGCATGTCAAGTGGGTGGCAGCAGACGGCTGGGTGCTGTTCTGCTCCTCTGCACCAGCTCAGCACCACGTTGGTGTCTTCTCCCATGGGTGTCCTTCATGTTGGGGCCTGGGGGGAGCTGCAGTGGCTGTTCCCAGGCACTCACCAGCACCTCCTTCCATCATCTCCATGTTGAGGAGGTTGGGGTGATCCCTCTGGAAATAGAGGGGGTGAGGTAGAAGAGCAGCTACAAAATGCAAAGGAGAGGAGTCAGCTGCAATCAGTGCAAGAAGAAACAGAGATGTCTCCTAGCAAAGCTAGGGTGTAGGCTTTAGTGGAACTAGGGTGACCCAGAAGTCTCTGCATTCATCTTCACTGCATGGGAGTCAGTCCCACCCAGAATACTTTTTCTTTCTTTTCTTTCATTCATTTGTTTCATCCCGTGGGGAAAAGAGGGAAAAAAAGAAAGAAAAAAGATAAAATATCAGTTTTTAGCGTGGGGCATAAGGGAAGGAATCTTATTGATAATAGTAAGTGCTGATGAAGAGGAAGCACATCTGCAGAGGATACTTTCCAATAGATTATTGTCTGCTGGGTGTCGCCAGCCCATTTCCTCCCATCTGAATTCTGCTGGCAGAAGCACTCCCGAGACACACAGCTTCACATCTGTACCCAGCACCAGAGCTCAGAAGAAATGTGAATCCTGGCTTTCAAATGCCAGTAATGAGAGGAGAGCGGGGGAGTGAGAATTGCTTCTTTTATTAATCAAATCCCCCCCCATCCCCATCTGCCATCCCAGAGAGCATCCTCCAAGCAGGAGGGTATCCCTTGCCTTGCTGCTTGTGAAGTCTATCCATAGAGCAGCCTCAGGGACCACGTACTCAGTTTGACAGTTCTTCCACTACCATGGCTCTGGCAGCTAATGGAGGACTCTGTTTAGCTGCCTGGAGGGGTGATCCATCATCCAGAGTTCAGGTCTGACTGGGAATGGAGGATGCCTGGCTCATGAGGGTGATAGCTATCGGGGTACCTAGAGTAAGAACAAGGAGAGAACTGCTCATACTGATCTGTTTAATCAGTGATTCCTACCCCATCACCTCTGCACCGAGATGCCCAAGGGGAGAATGATACAGCCTAGGGCAGAAGCAGACTCAAAAAGAGGAAGCTGTCAGGAAGTACAAAGGAAGAACAAATCATTCAGGTATGGGCAAGGGTCAGAAATCAAAGATCTCCAACTGTTCCCTGGCAGAGGAGGGGAACCAGCTTCAGTTTACTGCAAGCAAAATGGAAAACATGAGGTTGTCTTTGCAGAGGGAAATTACAGGAGCACAGCCACTCTTAACATGTCACCCAGACAGTGCTGGCTCACCAGTGACTGGGATAAGTGACATCTGGGACATGGACAGTGTCCATCTGCAACAGCCCTGGTGACATCAGGCCATCAGCTCTTTTCA